TACGAAAGTATTAGGACACCGTTCACCAGATTGGTCAGCAGTATGTGGCTCTTATGCTGTTCAACATAATTTATCAGTTGAACTTTAAACAAGAACAACATCTTTGTTGATTGAAGTAAATTCATAAAAATTTAGAGATCTTGTCCAATAAGTTGCATGTTTCGTTTTCTTCTTTCTTTCGTCTCGTCTTACCTGCTCATTTTCATGTTTGTGTTTCTTGTAGCGAATTGATTGGATAGGCTGGGTTTCGTCCATCGGATCACACAAATTCGAATTTCGTGTTCATTTCTTTGAGGATTTTAATTTCGAACGAAATTAAACTGAAAGTAGTATCTTGGAAGAATTGCACTTGAGGTTAGAATGATGGGACAACGTCTGTTCTACAAACAAGTGAAGTTCTCGGGATCCTGCATTGATCGAAAAATTATGACGGGATGACGATGAACCAACAGGATCCCCAATACGACAATGTTTGTTTTGGTGCTGAGAGCCTCTGTATTGAGAGAACCCTGCCATGGTGTCAGTTTCGTTGTAATGAAACTTTAGTATATGTTACATGTATGGTAACTGTTTTGTATACTGCCTACTGAAATTTTCACGACAAGGTATTATGAGTGATACAACCACACTGGTGTTAAGGTATTTGTAAAACCAGACCGCAGGTGTGTGCGGTGGTGACTGAACACGATATTACCTTTTCTAGGACTAACGCCTTCATCAGCACACAATACGGGTCCCACGTTTCGCCTTTCTCTCAGCTGGTTCTCAATCTACCAGTATCATCAGCAATCACCCGTGAACAGAATTGATCTGGGGAGCACAACTCGGCATTGAACCCATTTAAGCTGGACTGTAGTCGAAATCAAAATGTCAACCTTTCTACATAACATCTGCAGACACCTGTGGTCCGGGGTTTTGGAAATATCTCAGCACAATTGTGGTTGTGTTACAGGTATGGTTTAAAAAATATAAGATGGTGGGAGTTCCATTTCCAAAGGTCATTCGCTAATGGGATTGATTGCCTCAGTTCTATGAAAAGTATGAAGAGCGAGGGGTTGTCGATGTTGCCATGGCGATAAGGTGGTTCGGTGTTTACCACCGGAACGTATTCAGTGGTATTCGATTAAATGTGTCCTCTTCTCATACTATTTATATGTGTTTTACATCGAAGATCTCCTGTTCTTTTTTTTTGGTAGTACCAGTTGTGACGTGAACGGTTCAATTTTATCTGTTTCGTAGCTCACTGTTCATCCACAACCATTTGAAATTATTTAGCAAGTCCACTGAAGGCGCGTTTGGCGCAGTATTCGGACGCGCCTTGCAATACACGTGGCATACGTCTCTCTCCCGTGGCTCATCAAGCTTTGCATCCCTCGGGGTTCGGCAAATTGGTACCAGACTTGTCTGGGAGGATAGCAGCATTGATTCGATACATCGGTATACCACCGTGAGTCATTGTAAAGACCAGGTATGCGCTCAATCATCTCCAACGATGCCTAATGAAGTCGAATGCATGACGCTGTCCTTTATACTTTTAAGTCCGTTAATCCGATGAAATCGGCTGCTTGATGTGGAACTGCATGAATGTTTATTTCGTTTGCTTCCATTGTAATGTTCGGCAACCATGACACCAACACATGACGAGTTATTTGCGATTAAATGGTCACATGCTAAAACCTCCAGTCATCCAATGTGTGGGCCAAGCTGGATAATGCGTGTTTCTGTCTTTTTCATGAAATTGATCAACGACGTCGGCATTATTCTTTTATTGTCCTAACCCTAAATGCGGATGGCAATACTGTAAATGTTGATGAGCTCCGCTGTGGTTGAAGAAGATGAGGTTCTGCGAAAGGCAACAGTTTATCTTTCTTTAGCAGGTCTCCTTTCAATTTACCATGGGTGTGAACGCGTTGACCTAATTGAGCACCACAGTGGTACAGCATATTATGCATATTTCTTTTTTTATTACGCGACCCGATATTACATGTGTTACAGTGTGGGGATCGCACCAGTTCTTGCCTTGGATTCGTTTCCTCTCACATCCACCATCCGTGAAGATGTTCAGACTCTCTGCATGTCGGTTCTGCTGCCACTGAAGAATTTCTTCATCTACTTCACAAATGTTGCTGGTTGAGTCGATTCTTCCTGAGATTGTCGTGCTAGAGCGTTTCCACGTGGATTTGAGGGATTGAATTGGCCCGAGGTAAGTCTAATACCAATTTCTTGACACCTAAGGGATGAGGTTTAGTGGTTGCGATGCAGGGCCGAACCAACGCCTAGGTAGGTTGGGCTGTCCAGGTAATGAACGGGATTATTACCACTTGACTATGCACTATTATTATGCATATTATGAGAGGGAAATTTCAATGGTTTTTTAACAAAACAGTCGCAGACGCTGTTTCCTAAAAGGGATGTCACATTGACCTCTGGCATATAAAATCGAGGGTTAGGCCTACCAGGTCTCTAGTGAAGGGGAAGAAAGCAACAGCCAAGCAACGGAATACCAAAACCATTGTCAGTGTAGATTTCGTTATTACTTCAATCGAACTGTTAGAAAAAAGCCAATCTCCCCAGAATTAGCGCTACTGTGGAGAGTATAATATAAAGACTGGAATAAGATGACGTAATAGCAGAAGTCGAACACTAATGTCTAAACCTTCTTGTCTTTGATGTTGTTCTAATATCATCAGATTTTGGAGTATTGAACGAATGCTGATTAATTTCGAGTATGGAAAGACGAGTAATTGCTTTGAACCTAAGCTGTGATGTTAATGACAAGAGGATTTGTTAATATTATCGTGTTCATGCTGAGCGCCATGGACACTCCGTCATTGCTTACGTCGTCAAGTGGTCAGCATCGTGAAAAAATTAGGTCCAGATTTATGAGGATAGGACTGCCTAGGGAGCTTGTAAGGTTATCAGGAATGCGATGAGGGAAGTAAAACACTCAGTTTTTTGTCGACTCTGATGTTCTTCTCATCTTAATGTATGGGTCGAAAATTTAGACTTCGTATGAAGTGAGGGGACATTCAGCGTTCTCTAACATAGTGTCGCTTGGGGATTTTAGGATTACCCTGTACCACGCAAGTAAATGGCATAGTTCAAAGTTTCGATACACTGATATTGTTATATATCATGGACTTTGCTGTGTACGTAAAGGTGTTAAAAACGAAGCAAAATAATCTATGCCTTAACGGTACCCAGTTAACATGTGCTGAGTTTCGCATCTAACGGGAAACCATGTAGTCCCTGAATCCATAATCGAACTTCTTCGTAAAGACTGAATAAGAGGTATGGGTTTTTTATGCTGTGTTTAAAGAAACCCACTGAGCAGCTTGGACCATGACATTACGTGGACCGAGTTTTATTCTGGTTTTCTCGCTCGTTTTACTACTTACTTTTTATTATTTAGTTCCTGGCTTTTTTGAAGTGTTTGCGTATTCACTCGTACAACAAGTGACTATGTCGCCAAGATCTTAGCGTGGATCCATTCCTTTGTTGACTGATGCGGTAGGATAGCACTTGTTTTGATGGTATAGAATAGTTCTCGTCGACGGTGAGGATTAGCAATAAGGAATACTGGTAGTTTTGGCAGACTTCTATGACCACAGTTTGAATGTGGTTGAATGTGTGGTGTCCCTCTAGAAGTTCAACTCACATAACCTTTTGGTGCTAATCTAAAGTTTTAACCTAGGAAAGAGCTTGTTACATCGTCCTCATGCAGTTGATTGACTAGTTTCGAAACTCATTATCTCATAGGAAGAATCGTAGTAGGAAGCAAACCATTCCTCGACACCCAAGGACCACCAAGGGTATGTTGTGAAGACCAGAAAACTCTGGCACGACGATCTCGGAGTTCTAGAATGAGTTACTGTGTTAAATATGTCAATGGAGTAGTAAATTCCTGAAACCCCATACGAATGCTGACCGCCATAGGTTTTCAGAGTCACACGGCTTGCGTAACTGGGTCTTGCAAATGTTCTTAGTAAAAAGTGTAGTCTTTACTATTCCCACAGGACGTTGGTCGTGAAAACCGTATCGGTAGCAGTAGATAAAAGCCACCATGTTCTGTTCTCAGTTGGCTATGATTTATGGGCCACCGTGGTGGTAGTCGACGACATCACCACGTGCACAATGATATGTGGATCTTAATAATCGTTATTTCAAACAATGAGCAAGTAGGAAATTGATAATAGACTTCAGGTAGGTCTGTATTTCAATAGAACGTTGAGAGATCTCTGCTTCATTATGGGCTGATGCCTCATGGCGTTTGTAGCAACCAAAGTGTTCACCATGACAATACAACATGGACGCATATTTCTCATATATTAGGAAGCCTCCTACGAAAATAGGAGGATTATTGGGTCCATGCCACATTGTTCAGTTCTGCTATAGCAAAGCGCTTTTCTAGTATCCTTGGCGGTGTGTTCAACTCTTATAAAAATGTGAAAAGAAAACAGCCACTTATAATCTCGTCGCGTTTTATTTACTGCCTACTCTTTTTTTTAATGGCAGTGTCTTGTGTGAAATATAACCACAATAATGCTGAGATGTTTGCAAAACTCCGGACCGTTAGTGTCTGCGGTGGAGAAGGAATGCGCTGTTACTTTCCGAGGGCTAACGCATTCACCATCACACCATGCGGATCCTTCATTTCGCTTTTCTTTTTGTTTCTTTCTTTTTGCAAATGTCACAGCACTTACATTTCTTACAATATCTGCATTCCGTTAGCATTAACGTTTTTATGGACAATTTCATTGGCACCACTTTGACATAAAACCAGTCCCTTAACCCTGCAAATCAGTAGAAACAGTTTGTTTCTTTTCCTTGCTTTTGCTCTTCTTCTTCTGTTCTTACTCTTTATTCATACTCTGTTCTTGTTCATTGAAGTTACTATGTTTGACACATATAATTGTTTCCTCAACTTGCTTTCACTTACTTCTGATCTTTGCTTTTTGTTTATTAAGCTTCTTAATTGCTTCTTGCTTTTTATAGTGTGCATGTTATCCGAAGTACGACCAGATGCTGGGTTTATTAGTGAGGCCGATCTCCGAGCTGCTGAGATCGTACGGCCTGAAGATGTGCTGAAACTTACTTCAATTACGCAAGGTTTGTCCTGTTTCCCACACAGTAACTTTTGTTTTCAAAGGTTTTAGAAACCTTTGGTCACAATAAAGTTTATGGACCATCTTCCAAGAATCATTTCCCAATTTTTGTCTTACAGACTATCTTTGCAAACCGTCCTCCAATATCTATGACATTGAATTCACTCGATTCAAAATTCGCGACTTGGACACTGATCAAGTATTATTCGAAATAGAAAAGCCGCGAGGTCGTCTACTTTTTCCCTTTGTTACGGTTATTTGTGTCATATGGCTCTATTTGTTATAAACAAGAACCTTTGAAGTTAAATGGTTTCAGATGACGCTTCTGAGTGTGAAGACCAACCTACGGAAACCGCTCGTTACGTTCGCTATCGGTTTTCTGAAGACTTTTTGCATCTAAAGAGAGTGAGTCATATTCCCGACTTTCTGTACAGTTATATATATATATATATATGTATATATATATGCATATATGGGTATATATATACAGTTACATGTATAGGTGTGGTCTTAACATAATCGTGACTGTGTAGACAATATACAGCTCATATATGACAGCACAATGTATTTATGACTCTAGTTCTTAAAAACTACTTACTAGAACCTATTTTTGGAATCAGTTTGTTGTCGTGTAGCTAAGGGATTGTCCAGCGACGCATAGGGCTGGAAGTTATAAACGATCGTTGATTAGCACTATAATCAGAAATCGTTCTTCTCATTTGGCTATTCGATTTTACACGTGCTATCACAAACAAAAGGTATTTCTAGCAAGTTCCGCATCCCATACTACTTCTCTGCCAGTCAATAAAATTATGCTGAAGTCTAGAATCATTAGAAAGGAGGGAACAAAAGAAAATTGTTGACATATCTGTTCTGCCTCAGTGAAGCACTCTTTGTTGGACCTGCAGGTTGGCGCTACAGTGGAATTCGTTGTCGGCAGCAAACCAATAAACAATTTTCGGATGGTAGAAAGACACTTTTTCAAGGTGAGTGACTCATCGAAAGCCCGTTTTTCTTCTTCTTTTTCAAACTTATTCCTATTGGCACAGTTCAGACTAAGCGAATTTACAATGTTAATTGTCAACTTTCCCATTGTACTTGCAATCCATCTCCTTATCTGCTCTGCCTGATGCTCATCCAAAAATATATGACCAGAGTAACATTCCAATGTTAACAATCTGTTGTTGATTTTAATTACTTCTCTTACTAGGACAATAATTTCAAAGGTGAACAGTTTTCCTAAACGTGTTATCTTTGCTTCTGAGAAACTCGTCATCGTAACGTAGTCGGTTGGCTTTAGCTAAATCTATCTGATACTTAGATACAATTTTGCAAGAAAAGATATAATCCTAAACTTGCAGGACAGGTTGTTAAAGAGTTTTGACTTCGAGTTCGGATTCTGCATTCCAAACTCAAAAAACACGTGCGAACACATCTATGAGTTCCCTCAACTCAGCCCTGAATTAGGTGGGTTAGCTATATAAGCTGTTCTTTTGTTCTTTCCAATGTATTTTATAGTTCTTTGGTCTCCGTTATATATATATATATATTTATTTATTTATAAGAACTCTCGTCGTTCATCAATCCCAGGGATGCACCATGCATTCAGCTAAATTAAGCATCTTTGGAAGTGACTGAGTGCACATCTGGCTTTTATGATGAGTCGCGGTGTCCTACCGATGTATCGAGCAAGTGCTGTTATCCTCCCAGACAAGTTTGGTACCGGTCTGCCGATCGCAGAGGGATGGAGGGCTTGGTGAACCTAGGACGCGGAGATCGATCCCATGTTTTGCAGGGTGTCTCCAACCACTGCAGCAAATGTGCTCATGTATATATATATATATATATGAGGTCTCATTATTCTTCGAAACCCTGAACCTGTGGGCTTCAAAATTTATCCAACTAGTTTTCAGTGAAGGAGATGGTGGAATGTCCATACGAGACCCGTTCTGATAGTTTCTATTTCGTGGACGACAAGCTCATTATGCATAATAAGGCTGACTATTCATATGATGGTTAAAATCGGAGGAATCAACTTGGTTCACAAAAAAGAAAAAACACCACGCAAGAACATCACATTATCAACGGATTTATAAAGTTCCAGATTATACATAATTCCATAATCAGTACGGTATGAATTGCAGCTAATTGAAAATGTTCGTAATATTTCCCGTAATAGTTTCCTAATATTCTACTTCTCAGACGTTTTCATGTTGAACCCAACATTTCTGATTTAATTTCGATCTCTGACGATGGCGCATATCTTCATGATTTGTTCCAGGTGGCTTTCGTGGAACTTCAAATAAATCCATGATATTAGTCATTTAATTTAATCTAGTTATCGGTGTCACTTGACTGACCTACTTGTGTACCACTTACTTTATTTTCCAAGCAATCGAATATTTTATGTAGTTTTATTAGTAGTAAAATAAACACACATTGAATATTCGGTTCTTGTTTGTACATAACATGTAATGGGAAATGACAAATGATTAATAAATAGGGTACCATGGATAACAATCCCCGTATTCAGATTCACACAGTCTCCGAATGCTTTTCAAATGCTTTCAAATAAACGCGATATGATTAGTTTCAAGAATTAAAAAAGGATACTTTATGTGACACTTACACATTGTTTAGTCACTTAGAGCATTTATTATCCGTGTTCTAGCCTTTCTCGACACATGAGTAGCAACGCTAAGTAGTGAGATCATCTGTTTGGAAGTGTATTCCTGCAATGTAGTTTGAAATAAAAGTACTAAATTTTACTTGTTTTCGTATAAAAATTATCCATACTTATAGTAACTACTCACGGAATAGTTACTATGCTCTATATTATCGTATGTCTTCTACAGCAGCTATATTTGCTGGTAACCACATCAATGCTTGCACTACTCTTAGTCATCTATTCACCCGAAAATGCATTTATGACCTTAACAAAAAATGCAACTTTTGCTTTGTCATCCCCTCACAAGGATGTGTATTTGTCCTGCACTGCTCAATCGTCTCCGAAGAGCAAATTTCTGTCACCCACTTTCAAAGCTATTTCTTCAACTACTCTAACTAAATTCCACCTATCGTTAGTACGTATATAAGCAGCTTCCTCAATGCTTTAGCTAGTCTCAGTCTCGACCTTGGTCTTCTGCAGTCTTCTCCAGTCTCCACATCTCTCTCTACGAGTTCTCCCTACCAGAACTCCTTCGTCGAGCACTTACATCCTTCACCTTTCTGTATATTGTCACATTGATGACATTGTATTGTTACTACTTCTATAAACGATTATAACCACAGTTTGTGATTCTGCTCTGTGGCAAAGTGAAAAAGTTCCGCGTAGCAAACTCGTACAAAGTTGAGCATTCTAATTGGAGCCAGTAATTATTCGGTACCGAATACTAACTCGAGGATCCATATACCACTGACCAACTAATACGCCGCGGAACATATCACTTGAGAGTATGAATCGAGTTCGGTTGTTAGAATCTGATAACGAACTGGGCACATTGTCTTACAAATGAGCTTGAGAAGAAAAGTAAATAACATAAACGAAACGAAGAAATAGTTTCCATCTTACTAACAGAATGCTTGTGAATCCATTCTTCAAGTCCATTTTCCGACAAATAAAATGCCTTTATGTATCCTTCCACGAACGCGCAATGAGGAATAGGGTGAAGACCGCAGATTGGCTCAAGCTGTAAGAACTGCTACCATTGGTGATAGACGATTGAGAAACTAAGTGCCACGAAAAACTTTTCGTGGTACTTAGTGGCTCCATACCTTTGACAACAGGTGTTGGAAATCCAGTTGCATTAATGCACGACCCTCAGTCGAACATCTACCGCTTTCGCAGTACCTGAAAGAAAAAATACAGATCAAATAAGGAAAATGGGAAAGCTATTTGTACCAGCTATCCTCTTATGGCTAACATTCTCACAAACCCTTGGACGAGTGCCTTGAACGTGTAGAATATCGTTTGTTCCCACAACAGTGTTCGTACAGAATCACTTAGGTGGATATTCTTAGTGGCACGCTCTAGTCGAAGCGATAAATCATCGAAATCCTGAAACATTAGATCTGACTCCTAGACAAATTATCATTGATCCTTTTGCAGATTGTTTAAACGGCTCCCTCCGAACGGTTTACCGCCTCAGTGTGGCTAGGTGTTCCTGGGTGTCGCACAGCGATGCACAACTGGAGATTCGTCCCTCTGACAGGGTTTTCCAAGCTGAGAAGGAGTCCAGCGTTTCCATTGGGAAGCCCAGCTAAGAGTAAATCAATACTAGGATCCACCACCGTCCGGGTATCAAACTAGTCGCATGGTGGCAAATTCCCCTCTGATCGACAAGGGCAGCGACTTCCCGTGGTGGTGACGACCTGGGCAGACTTTGGCCAGGCTGACCTCGAGACTCCGCAGAGCCATAATGGCTAAACCAACAAAACACGAAAAAATGAAGATTATGCTGGAGTCCGCATAACCAGCGACGATGGGCCATGCAAGTATCAAAATAGGTTAAATAGCTCACCTTAATAACAATATCGACATAGTTACTGTGATGACTTTGCAACTCATCCACGTCCCACTTTGTATTTGAAATCGCTGTAATGAGCACAGGAAAATTAAGTGCGCGGCTAGTCACACAGCTGTAAACTAAACATCGGGTATCGCCAACAGCAGAGAGCACCTGAATGATATGCAAAGAATTTCGCCATTTTTACAATCAGTCCTGAAAATTACACACGGATCAATGATGCGCGTGTTTTTAACTATGATGCCCTAATCGGATATCCACCAATTATTTATCATCTCATTGTAACTGGGAGTTGTGGTGTGATTCTAGGTGTTGAACTGAGATTTACACCACGGGATTCACGTTGTATCAGGGTCATACTAACTAAGAATAAGTTCGATATTTCCATCAGGAAGGTAAAGCAACAGTAAGTGAAGTGATCAAAGTGAACAGTATTGGTCTTTCTTCCACAAAACAGCAAAAATAAAGTCCGCTGAGCAAAACGTGTAGTGAACTTCGTGTCCTTCGCACAAGCGGAGCCCAGAGTGCAACCCACATGCGCGCGATGGACGAGTGGGTTTACTGGTGTCGGTTCGTGGCGATGGTAAACAGTTGTAGGTGATTTAGGTGAATAAGAGATTCCTCTCTCCAGTGGTCTTCACCTTGTCGTAGCATAGGATGATTCTAAGTGTTAAACTGCGATTTACATAGGAAGTCTTCACAAGGCAGATCACCCGAGGATGAAACTATAATCTAGCAGCCTAGTTAAAAGTAAATTAATATCAAAAAAGAAGCCTACGTGAAATATTCGCGGATATACTTTCGCCAAAAGTGGAGATATGAAAGGGTTTATAGCAAAGGTGTGTCACTGTTGTATTATCAAGCCAAGTCCACTTATTATATATGAGGCAGTTTAGGAGTAAATCACATTTTTGTTTTGTGGTCATTTTATTAACTCGATAATTAACTGGATTACGGAAGATAAAGCTGAACCATATATCTAGCGGATATTTTGTCCTTACGTTGCCATAGAAGCGATCTAGACTCCAGCTAACTTTCTCACTTGGCTTAGCCAGCAACGATTCCATCACTGGCCGCACAAGATAGAGCTGTCGAGCAACAAATTCTCTGAAATCGACTATCAATTAAAAACAGTCTCACTGTTAGAAGCGATTACTAACATATGAAAAAAATGCTCGTACTAAAACGGAAGATATTAGGAGAAAGAAAAAGAAATATATGGACATTAGAATGAAACAGAGAATACAAGGGTTTGAAGTTTATGGAAAAACCCACACAGATTCTACAGCAACGATCCTTTCAGCAATGCCATAGAGGTGATCGAAATGGCTAAGGTCTAGTCCCGCACAAAGCTTTGGCGTCACGAATCGCACACTCTTGAAAATTGCTACACGCTTAGTTGTTCTCATATAAGAAGAATAAGGAGCCGCTTGTTGGTTAATAGAAATACAAGAGGTATATGTAAGGAAAGAACTGACTACTAGGATGCTTAGATAGTTCATAATACCTGGCAGAACAAATTTCTTCGAAAATCAACAAACTAATACACCTATGGAGTTTCTTCGATGAGCAGAGATGTAGAAGTGCATATGAGGTTAACGTTCACTAAGTAAACTGGCCAATCCCTACCAAATCGATCAAAACTAGAATAAGTTCGATTTCATCGGGAGGTCAGAGACCGCATAGGAGAACACCGTTGTCCTTAAAAGTTGTTTCGCCTACTAACCAGCTCTCGTTCACATGTATTGAGAAAACCATCATGCCATTCCATAGAAACACATCGCCCTTTGTGCAACGAAACACTATTGACACTACACACCAGTATGGTGACCGTTGGAAAACGTCCAAACCACGCTTTGCTTTTTGGTCTGCAAACTGTGAACAGCCGATTATTGTTCGTAATGGACGTGAAATTTTGGTGGGAACTTATCAGTAGAGGTTTCGGGAATCATCCTTTTAATAAAATTAGGAAAAAAGCGGTATTTTACTTGGAATCCACTGAAGCAGAGGTTGTGCCAATGATGAATCACACAAGATAGTGAGGATGCAGATCAATGGAAAGAATATCCAATTTCCAAAGAGCAATCGTTAGGATTGAGAACGGATACGAAGGATAGGTCGATGAATCTAGACCCCAAATGTTATAAACTACGAGTTACAGTGAAAGTTGATAATGTTCTGAAAAGAAAACCATACAAGACACCGCTGTGAAATCTAACTGTGCCCATGAAAAAATAGAAAATCACCTCATACCGATTTACCGAACTGGACGATTTCCTCTACTCTGTGCTACCCCCACTGAAACAAGGGTGAACATTTTTACGATGTTTAAACCATTTGTATTATCTATAGAGCACAGGTAGAACCTTTCTAAAAGTCAATCGGTATATAAAAACGAGGCGCGTGTAGTGCATTGGTTAGACGTTCTCTGCAATAAGCACAGGGGCAATGGTTCTATCTTGCTACAAGGGAAAATCAAGCCCTCTATTCCGCCGTGGACGTCAACTTTGGACCAATTATATGGACAAACATGTATTCAATCACCTCAACGGTGCTTAGTGAAGTAGAATTCATGGTACAAGACGTATCCTCCAGGTATATATCAACGTCGAACGCCTTGCCCTTCATAAGCCCCAACCGACTTTCCCGAGTACCACCAAAAGTGAAGAATGAAGAATGAACAAGAACCTTTTGCGGGAAGAAATAAATAAGGCTATGTGAAGGTAATGTATAAAATGGATTAATATATGTATAGGATAGGTGATGGGACCACTAAAACACCAAAATACTTGCTCAGTATATAAAATGTATTACATAACATTGGAAAACGCATGTTTGAGATGTACAGAGAAATGATAAAAATATATCCAATATCTAAAGCCAAACCTCTTCGCACAATTTGTTCGTTGGTTTTGTTTCATCAAAAAAAAGACGACCAGCGATATCGGCAAGCACTATTTTAATTTTAACGGGTGGATCGCTAACTTCACAACCATCAAAACCAAAGAACATGGTGATCTGTGAGTACTTATTGTCATGGCGTTGTGACATATACAAAGCCAGAAAGCCGAACTCACAGTGTAGAAGAAGTATTCAAACAACTCTGTCAATGCAGGGACAGAGTACTCAGAAATCGATGGCAATAGTGACGTCATTCTTATATAACGACCTGAGAAAAAAAGAACTTTTAGATGGCTGAAGGGTGCTTTTGTAATGTGCAAAAAACCGAAAAACGTAGATTATGCTCACCAAAAAATCGAAGCAAATTGAGCGCTGTATTGCATATGTTTGGCACCTGCTCAATGCTGAAATATGAACAATACGCTCAGGTACACTAGTCTATCTACTATCAAATCGACCAACGACCAACTATACTTGTGAAAAATTGTATAATTCCCGGTGCGAATACTTAAATGGCCTAAGCAATAGAAGAACTGTTCTAACAGATGCTCAGCTGCCACTTTTGATATATTGCTGATTCCTCAATAATTATTTCTTCGAATTCCGAAATAGAAGCGCTAGCGCCTTAGCATACCGTTACCCGTACTGGATCTTGTGGATAACAGAGTTTGTCACCTTCTTAGTAGATTTCTTGCAAAACGGAAGTGATTCTTAGCATTGGTTCGTTTAAAACCGGACTTCCCAGTGAATACGTCAAACTCCTACGGCCTGCGAGACTGTTAAGCGAATGGACCACAGTTGTACATCGTATATGATGGCAACTCAAAATAATCTCAAGAGACTATCAAATGTGCTATAAATGCGGCAGCCATTGAAAGATGTTACATATTACTCCTCATATTAAATCATTAATATTTCGTTAGCGGATAAAACCATATTCAACTCCAATTCGATAAGGACATACCTTTCCACTCTGTCACTTGATGTGTTCTCTTGCTGTAGATCTTCCGGTTCTTCTGCAGATCTTGATGTTCGGTCCGATTCCCTTCTTGACTAAATTGCTGCGCAGTTACTAATTTCGCAGTAAACGCATGAAAATAATGAAATAAACGAATTAAATCTGATATAACGCCACCTAGAGCACAGTCTAGTCCAGTTATATTATAGATCACTTATTTGCTTTAATACTAGGATAGCCCGTCTTCGCTGGTTGTGCAGACCCCAACAATAATTTCCATTTTTTCGGAAGTATTACGGATTACAAAGAAAAAAAAAACTTATGGACGTTAAGCTAACGTCGAAGCATACCTTAATTTCATTGCTGCCAAAAGGATTTATGTAATCAATAGGTATAGGTGAAAAATGATGTTGTTCCTCACCACCATTCGTTGTCACGACATTAATGTTGGCGCTTTTTTTACGAGCCTCCTCTAGAAGCGAAAAGTCCTGCAAAGAGAAATGAAACTAGAAAGTACGTTTTGCAAGAACGACTTTCATTTATACTTGGTGTGAACAATCAACATATTTGTTTAGATTGTTCAACTTACAGGACGTTGTAATAACTTTCATTCGGCTAACGCTTCGACGTTTTCGTCTTCTTCGGAGTGGATAATTCGAGTCAACGGTCCACCATCGTTCGTCCTCGCGATTTGGATCTTCGTAGTCCCATCGAGCTTCTTGAACGGACCACAGGTTACCTTGCTAGGCGGTGTTGTTTCCCATGGTACGATTCTTGATTGATTGCCGACTGATAATGACTTGAATTCATGTAGAAAAACCGTCCTGTAGCAGTCAGTACTAGAATAGCTAGCACTTAAAAAAAACTTCAGTAAACCGAGTTTCAATCAACTTCGACGTGAATGGCCAACATAATTGCTTAAATCGTTGGTCGACAAAAGTTATATAATAACTCCATGTAAACCGGACAATTTAAACAAATACATTGATTATTCGCACAGAGATTAAGTTAAAATCGACTTCGTAAAACATTATTTCGCAATGTTTTAGCTATTCTAATAGGGACTACTACAGCATAGATTGTCCACATGAATTCAAATCACAACCAGTCGGTAATCAGTCGACATCGTCCGATGTAAAAAGATACCACCGAGCAAGGTTACCTCATTCTAGCTGTGGTCCGTTCGACAAAGTTCGTCTCAATACGACTACGAAGACCAACAAAGCGAGAGCGAACGACTGTTGACCACACTCGACTCGGACAACTGGCTCTGAAGCAAATGAATATGTCGAAACGCTACCCGAATGACGGTTATATAACAACCCAATGTAAGCTGAGCAATATAAACAAATATTTTAAAAAAACTGGAAAAGACGATGATAGTCGGTGATTAAGGACAGTATGGTAACCATAACGACACCATTTAAACCTACGAGAAAAAAATTTATAAGGTTAAAGAAAAGAGCAGTGAAGAAAAGAGAGGAGATCTGCAACTACCTGAAGATCAAATATGGTGAACTGGTTAGGAACAGGACACAACGTGAAACACTCGTTCTCCAAGAATACACGCAATTCTTCCACTCTTTCTGAATGGTAGTGAACAAAGTATGCGATGGCCTGTTTCTCTAAGGATACGGCTATTTTATCAGATGAATCGCCGAAAAATAGATGACCGAAATCATGAAATCTGTAAAAAAAAAAAAAAAAGTGGAGACATCGTACGCCTCGTACGTATGACAAATTAGCACAAAATGTGCAAAACATCCATGGGACACAAATCTGTCATAGAATTTCATGCTGATAAAGCTCATGTAGAGTTCGTTCACTGGTATTTCAGAAGTGCACAAGGAATGCCTAAGTTGCCCTATATCTGTTCTTGTTTTTAGACAGAAATAAATAACGGTCATACAGCAAATCGAAAGTAGCTTGTTTGATCTTCGGCGAATGTAACTTTTCTAGAATTATGGGGTAGAAAACTAGGAAATTAGAAGAGCGCTTGTGCCGCTGAAGTTTCCAGAAACGCTCATTGATAGCAGGTGCTGGTCAGAGCCTGTCCTATATACGTCGCAATAAAATCTTCGCTCATGTTCTTTCTCATCGAGAACAGATCTTTTGTGACGCGAGAGTCTGACTCCTCAAAGAAAACGCACTGATCATCGGACTGTCGTAAACAGCTTGCCTACAATTTGTGCAATGCTCTATCCTTCGTGTAAGTAAAGAAAATTTTCGTCATGGAGAGAAAACAAGATGTCCATAGCTCTGCCACCAATACCCAAAGAGACTCCATGACTTGTTGTAAAAATTTAGTAAACAATCTTAAAGAATGATAAGCCATTAGAAAATTAAGGCCACTGAAAAAACCTATGTTTCGTAGTATATTTTTTGTCTAACCATGATGACAATGGTAACGTTGCTCATTTTTCAAAAGTAAGATTCCTAGCTACTAGATTTTGATTGGTCTGCTACTAGCTACGGAAGATGCTTCCAGCATTTAGTGTGATTTGCAACTTTGATATATTCATAGTCGTTATCCAAAAACAAATCAGCATTCTATATGAAAAGCACATAGCGGTCCCATGCATTGAAGTTCCTCTAGGATTCTTGAGTGGTGGAAATTATCTTAAAATCTCAATTCTTCCTCTGAGTCATTGGTCCCCACATGATTCGGAGGATGTCCATATTATTTTGATGTAGAACTGTGAAGCGAGTAACAAAATAAAAAGTCCAGGAAAAATACTCCAGCGTCCCTTGGTGGTGCGAAGAAGCAGAATCTTATGACCTACGTGATCCTACTTTTTAAACCCACAATTTTGACATCTGTTACCTTCTTAACATTATTCCAAACACTGACCTCTTCGCCATATCAACAATATCCAACAGTTCTTCGAATTTTAGTGAAGAAAAGTCCTGGCAGCATACTAATGAGTGCAATGCCGATAGTGCCACATGAAACACTTCATTAAGTGATGAAATCATACAGTTCATCACCACACCGATGGAAGCTGCGAAGAAAATTGGATCGGTGATATAATCAGATTTTAAAAAATCTATGAAATTTTTTAGGCCGCACTAATCTGACGGGCCAAATAATGGGCCCAATGCTGACCTTCAGCACTCACGACATAACACAGATTCACAAGACATCTCTAAATCATTTCCTAACGTAACATGATAGAAAAGCGACATAGAAGAAATTCGTTAAGAAAAATGTGGCCTAAATGAATTTTATAATAAAAACCTAGAGTTACAAGATATCCTGCGGTGACGAGCAGGATTAAAACGATATCGTATTGTTTCTTAGAAAACGGCTAGGAAACAAGTAAGGTATTAGACTCACCATCCTCAGTCAAACTGCCTAGTCTTCTTCTCTCATCGTCTTCATTGTGGAAACGTAGAATGATATGGTAAATTGTGAGAATTTTGCACATCACATAGCATAGTTCTCTAACTGTCGACACAATGTGTTCGGGATCGACACGCTCAAGCAACATGATTAACTCTTACATTAATTAATTCATTCAGCTCTTACAACAAAGACTACTGTAGAAAAAAGCGCTCATCACTCTAGGGAATTCTCACGACCAACTTTTTATTAACCTCGGCACTGATCGGACAATTCTTTATATTGTTTAGTTCTGTTTGTTTGGTTATGGAAGTCTTTGGGTGGGTAGATTGCGGTCAACTTGACCTTTCCAAGCCCTGAGGATAACGAAATTCGCCGAAACGTCAGCTTTTGCGTAAATAAAGAAATGAAACAACTCGTGTTTGCTAAACAAAAATATAAGGACTTTAGAGAATTTTCACAAAAATTCACGGTTCTCGGTTCAACGATATATGTCACTCAGTAGACAAACCTCACACAATGCTTCATAAGACATCTCAGCAACACTGACTAGACAGTGGTCTACTATACAGTGCTCCTCTACAATCTTACGCGACGATTTCTTTAACGTTGTGACAAAATGATTCACAAGCTTTCTTGAGGCTAGCTGGAACAGTAACAATTGTTTCAAAAACTTTCCAAGAATAACACATCTACCATAACCCTAAATCGGCAAAAGCAATACAATAACTCACCTCAACTTTATTAAGCATTATAAAGGCCGAATAAACTAAAACATATTGATCCTGATCGAAAACCATAGTGAAAGTGCTTAATGCGTCATCAAGAGCACCCTCTATCAAATTAGTGGAACCAACCAGTTTAGTCATTAAATCACTAAAGAACTGCAGAATAGCAAGAGATGACTGTGTTCTAAATGACTCGAATATACCGAAAGATAACTCACATACCTCACACAACTGAAATGATGGTATGTATTTGCAGCCTCCTTGGCTTCAAGGCACAAACGAATAGCTACCGGGAAGTTTCCACTCTTAAAAACACTTAGCATATGAGAGTTTTGAAAACCTTGAGGTCAATGTATTAATGGCTAGTTTATCAGAAACGAGATAAAAAGATTCACAAAATGCATCCAACTCAGATTTGACGCTTTACGACCAACGAAAGTAAACAGAAACCTCTATACAATCTCTCAGGTGGAACTCTGTCTCATAAAGTGTTTTGATAATTCGCAACGTTGAGTGGAGTCTATTCAGTAAACGTTTCTTCTTCTCGTTTGCGAGTATATATAGAGCTCTCCGGCTTTCAGACTGCGCGATACCAAGCGCTCTGCATGAAACATTAAGTAAATCTCTTATCACAACCAATTATGCCAACAAACACCTTAAATAAATTAAAAATTAAAACGAAATCTGTCCTAATACACATGTAAAAGAAAGCTTACTCTCTAATCGTTCGAATACTACGAACCAACTCTCTTATGCTAGCATTTATAGAGTCCATATCTTCTATGTGCGCATTATATGAAGGTGACTGAAAACATTATAGCAACTTTCGCAAACAGAAATATACAAAAAATCAATGGTGACAACCAACTTTCTCCATAATTAGAGTTGATATCTTCTTCGAAACTACTTGTAATTGCGACCTAAGGCGCACGCGTTCACAATCGACATCTTCTATGTGCAGATCGATGCCAAAAAGTTTCTGAAAACAGAACTGCGACTTAACTTCATCCTCAAATGTGTTGTATTTAAGAAACTAGATAAAAAAATGAGGCACATTCAGCGCAGTGGTAGGAGGCGCCGTGAACACACATGGGGTCGATCTTCGCGCATGTGGCCCACCAAGCCTTCCAACCCTCCGGGGTCGGTAAATTGGTACCAGACTTGTCTGGGAGGGTAGCACCACGAATCGATGAATACGTAGGCCACCGCGAGTCATTATAAAGGCCAGATATGCATCCAGTTACTTCCAAGGATGCTGAATAATGTCGAATGTATGGCGCATCCCTGAGGGATTGATCAACGTAGAGAGCTCTATCGCTTTTTTACTGAAGAATATCTCACAGTGAGATTGATGAATGCGAATATTAACTAACCTTTAATTCATAAGCAGTAGCATCGAAGTCATCTTCAATAAAATACGAAGCATCTATGTTATTAATAATGTCCTCGTCAGTTTCAACGACAACCTGTCGCGGTGAAGCCTTAAAAAGTCCGCCACCATAACATGTTGTCCCTGCTCAGAACCATTGTTTCAGTTGTAAAAAAATGTTTTAAATCTAAAAAATTTAAAAAAAAACTGCTCCGAAAGTGTTGCTACTTTCTAAAGCTGCTTCACTGAAGATAGTCGCACGGATTATCTTCATTCATACCAAATTTCAAATAAACCTTCGAAAGCCCTGGAAGACTTGGCTCATAATCGAGGTCAGAATTCCCCTGCTGTGTGGAAAGCACGAAGGCAGACACATCATCCATCTAAATGTCAGAAGTCACCAAAAACGCTTCTTTACGTATAAGTGTAATGCATAAGTTTAAATGTCTAGCAATCAAGTAGATGACAGACAATTTATGAAATCAAACGAATAAAGTGGATATGGTGTCTGGACGTCTAATGTCTATTTCTTTCTAAATTCGCAACTACTAAACGACTCACGAAGACATCTTCTGAAAATGAATCACCAATGTTCTTCAAAGTGCTGGTTAACGAAGTACGAAGTTTCTCCATTCTTATGCTTCAAGCCACCTTCACGCTGATTGAAACGGTAGTGTTGTCGACAAAGTCATTCACTATCGAACATCATCCTTGGAAAATCAGACTACAACAACTCAAATTCAATAATTCAAGGAATTTGAAGAGCAAAATAAAATAACGACCACAAAAAACTCTGAATTAATGAGAGACGTTTCAACGAAACATTTTAAATAGAGCCGATGTGAAAGGCACTATGATGTCTCCAATGTACGTTTGCAAACAAGTTCGACACCTAGGAACACCTCTTTATATGAATGAGATGGTAAGCCACCGAAGAAGAATGTATACTTGAATACCTTGTACGGCCCGACCTCACCAGTTGTGGGGGCCCTAGCATAATATCCATTTTTCGGGGTTTTTCTGGTTTAATCATCGTGCTCCCCGAAGTCCCGAGGCCAGCCTGACCAAAGTCTGCTCCAGGTAGTCACCACCACATGCACTCGCCGCCCTTGTGGATCAGAGAGAGATTTGCCACTATGCGACTAGTTCGATGCCAGGACGGTGGTCGACCCTGGTATTGATTTACTCTTAGCGAGACCTTCCTGATGGAAAAAACGGACTCCTTTTCACGTTGTGCATCGCAGCTCGACGTCCAGGAACACCTCGCAGTAACGATCAGGCGGTAAAACGGTTATGAGGGAAGAAGAATGTATGGCTGTAATTCTAATATAAGTTAAAATGTCACTAAAATTATTGGTTGGAGAAAGGCAGAGGGATCACACAGGTTAAAAAGTAATAAAGAGTAAAGCTCTCGGCGTTGATCTATCTCTGAAGGATGGGCCATGGATTCAACTTCATTGAGCATCGTTGGAGGTGACTGAATGCACATCTGTCTTTTACAATGACTCTCGGAGGCCTAGCCTTGTATCCAGCCAGTGCTGCTATCTTTCCAGACACGCCTGGTACCAATTTGCCGACCACGGAAGGATGAAGGGCTTGGTGAGTCAAGGGCTCGGGAGCCGATCCCATATGTACTTGCAGGGCGCCTCCGATCACTGCGCTACACGCGATCAGAGGGTGCATTCATCACTGCGTTTTAGGAAAGGATGCCTTTTGCAACAGTTCTCAGCTCTCACTGTCTTAATCTTAAATTGTTGGAGTGAATGAAGCGCCAAAAAGTATTACGGTGGATAGCACATGTACCATTTGATAACTTTCCACAAAATGTCCTCCTCTTGTGCTCACAAAATATTGAGCGAATAGTGGAAGAAAACCCTGTCCAAAGAAATAGGTAGGATAATTGAATTAGTATTTGCTAGCTTTCTTAACAAAACAGATCCACTGGAAAACAGAGGATACGATGCACTGTGATTGCACGCGACCACGAAAAGTCCTCTATGTTGCAGCTTCCGATGACTTGCAGACGTAGGTAGTTGTTGGAAAGAGTCAACTAAAGAACAACGGACTCGGTACTAACGTTTCTCTTATCCAACTACAAGAGTAGCGTTATAGCACCCCATTCTACTTGTATGTTTTACAAAATAAGGGTCCTATTGTATTCTATCCACCTCTATCATACGGGTCTTCCTCTGTAGTGAGCGAAATAAACACTTGTATTCCAATAACCAGTGTATAGATGCCTGGCATTATCGAGTAACTCTTCCAAATACCTCATCGTAACCGATTTAGCCATATTTCCTGTTCTGCAGAGGTCCGTAGTTGCACATTTCAAAGTTCTGTGAAACCACCGAAATGGAAAAACTTCAGCCGAACGTGTAAATATTGGCTCCACGTTGCTTTCCTCTGAAAGGTACCATGGAATCCTTAATGCAGACACTTTTGCCACGGTGGTGGACTGTCTAGCAATTTCTACTTATAAAGTATTTAAACACATTAACCTTGTACAATGTGTTCCATCTAAGACAGATAGCAGTACTCGTGAGTGGATATCCACTCACATTTACCTCGTCATAATTTCGAGCCCAATAAGATCGGATCAAAAATTAGATGGAACAGAGACTTTGACAATCTTTCAGGCGTGTAAGTTTAGCAATTTCTACCAAAACCATAAGAGTACATCCACAGCTGCAGTGTTCTCGGTTCCCTGAAATGACCTGTCCTGTCATCCGTGTTTGTTCCTCACGTTTACACCCAGATCACAAATGACAACTGTAAATAATTAGGAATATAGAGCTCCTGAAAGGCTCACGCAGTGCATTGGTCGGATGCGCCCTGGAACACAATTGGGATCGATCCCTACGGCCTTGGCTCACCAAGCCTTGCATCCCTCCGAGGTCGGTCGGTACACTGGTAACAGACCCCTCTGGGAGAGAGCAGCACCGTCTCGATACATCGGTAGGCCACCCGCGAGTCATTGGGCTAGACGGGTATTCAATCACCTCCAACGAAGCTTAGTGAAATCGAATGCATGGTGCATCCCTTAGGAATTGATCAACGCCGACAGCTTTACCTTTTTTTACTTTACACAGGTTCTGCGAAACGAAACACCGGTCGGTCGCCGCAATACCAAATATATCATCGAATACTCGAACGTTATTAGTCAATTCTCTGAATATTTGTTGAACTTGTGAAATTATTTACTGGTCTCCTATTTCCAGTAGTTCTAACAAATCATGGCATTGCATATGGAATGGGGAAGTATACTTATAAAGAATACCCAGATAAAGTCCAAATATACTGGCACGGGGAGAGCGTAGAACAGTGGCTAGAGGTGCAAAGTAACACATAAATAAGGTTGTTGGTTCGATCACCAGCCACAGATCCATCGAACCTTCCACTCATTCAAGGTTGGCAGATTTGTACCAGATCTGTCTGGAAAGGTAGCAGCACTGCTTTTCCATTGTATAGGCCAAATATACATTCAATCTAACTATGCTTGATGAATATATGACACATACCTCAGGAATTAATGAATTCTGAATGTTTTATCCTTTATTTTTAGTTACAACCGATTTGAGTCAAGAAACCGATTAGCGAAGGCCGACAATACCATGGATGAATGAAGGATGAGTCTTTCCAATAACACACTAGAAATGGAAAGCTTTTAATAGCCTACTTAATTGGATATTTAGATGATCCGTCCTCATTGGTTGTGCGGACTCCAGCATAATTTTCACTTTCTCGGAGCTTCGCTGGTTTAGCCACTGTGGTTTCCTGGAGTCCCAAGGTCAGTCTAGCCAAAGTTTGCCCCAGGTCGTCACCACTACCGGCAGTCATGGCCTTTGTGGATCGGAGGAAGGAGGTTTGTCATATCAGGACGGTGGCGGATCCTGGTATTGGTTTACGCTTAGCTATGCCTCCTCATGGAAACGACGGATTACTTCTCAGCTTGGGAGACTGTGCCAGGAGGATGAATCCTCTCGCTGTAAATCGCAGCCTGACACCCAAGAACACCTCCCAGCCACAACGACGCGGTAAACCGTTGCGGCGAACTTTCACCTTTCAATAAACATGTAAAAATACGTAGATGAACAGAAACCGAACATAAGAAATAACAAAAACGCGAGCTACTCAAACTTATTTTTCTAAAAAGGGATTGCAAATCGAGAGACACAAGAGGGCCTCTTTAGAGGATATCCACAACTGCAGATGAGTCGAATGTGTGCAGATTGTCGTAAACGGAGCTGCAGACCAGGCGCACATTTGACGACTACTTTGCTGCAATGCTCCGTATCGCCAACAACCTCTCAAGTCTGGTAAAGTGGGTGGATCGGATCGAATCCAGCGGAGCAGGACACTGCTCTAATGAAGCAACCTCACTTGAAAGGCCGCTTGATGCGATCACAAAGCTCCACATCACAGGAGTAAATAAGTAAATGACTATGGACAATTTAATCGGATCTCTAGTGCTCTGATGCACACAAGGGCGCCGAGCTTGGCTGAGTAGGAGTTCTGTAGCAATCTCATGTAGGCGGAACAGTTGAATTGTGCGTCTTGGGTTCACGAAGGTGCATTTTTCCTGTCAATAGACGGTCAATCAGCTTTATAATCATAGAATCTTTTACCGTGCGAATTTTGGGAGAATTCTTTGCGACTAGTGCAATCGTTTTCTGCCTGGAGCAGCGCTGGTGGTAGCAAAATTTAAAAGCTATGCTGTCATAACGGTCTGGTAGGCCCTAAGCATTTTGGTGAGAAACTACTTTTCATGCAAACGAGTCCAGTGACTATCGGAATGTAGTTATATCTATGGAGCCCTTAGATTCTTTCAGGTGGAGAGAATTTCATAACGTGATAAACGCCTTACACAACTTACAGCACTGAAAGTTTGTGGAATGAACTGGCGTTGTGAGCTACATGAAAGTTCCCCATAAGCTTCCTGAACAAAATAGAAAAAAAACGAAAAGAATGGATTCATCTCACAAGTATGCTTAAAATGGCCATATCGGCTCCACAGCTATGTGGAATGTTCCAGGAATGTTGAGCAACAGTGTTTGACTGTAGATCGGAGCCTTTAAATTTTGTCCCTACTCTTCTTCTTCTGAGTTACTGTAATCCTCTTCTAAAAACAGAAATTGTCATTGTGTTTATTGACCCCTTCCTTTCCACTAATCTCAATTCTTAGAAATGCTTAAGTCTCATAATGAGGTCGCAAGAACCTCGACTTTGAAAACCGTTGTGTGCCAGGCAACTGTGAGCAATTCAGACGGTGAAAATTGGACTGAATTTCTCTACCATGATAGTGGCAAGCCGGCTTCGTGTAAGAAACTGGACACTTGGTGTGTCGTCGATCTAGAGATGCTGTCGAAGTAGAGCCCTACCCAAA